GTTTTTGAATGAAAGCTGTTCGAATACATCCCAGGAAAGTGTATAAACCACGAAGCCCTTCTAAAAGCTCTAAATAAGATCAGAATTCGATGAGAAAGAAGGCTGATGGCTCAACCTGATCACTGAATTTTTCCAGCAAAAAATTTTTGGTTTGCATTCCTTCTTTTCTCTCTTTTTGGTTTCCCCACCGCCCTCTCTTCTCTTTTTTTCTAATCCTCGCGTTTTGTTCCATTTTATACGAGATAGGGGTTGCTAAAACCCTTATCTCAATGGTTCGTATGAAAGTTGGGATTTGTGGCATTTTTAGGGCCATTAGATGGCTTGTGTTCTAGATTTTTCGGATTAAGGCGAGGTGGCCTTGTACTGGGGGGTTTAGAGGGAAAGAAAATGGAGCAGAAATCACGCGGAAATTGCCTCAACAATGCCAGCTGCAATTCTGTACCGCAACCTTGCTTCTTGTACGAGTGTTGAAGAAGATGATGCGCGCGTGTCTTGCACGCGTGCGTATGAAGGTCTTTTTTTTTTGTTTTTACAAAATCTGATTTTGATTGATTTTTTTCTTTTCTTTTCTTTCTAATTTTCAAAAAAATGAATTTGAGATGATTTTTTATAGAAAAAATAAGAAATAAAAATAAAAATAAAACAAAACAAAAATAAAATATAATGAATTGATAAAAAAATAAATGACACAAAATTTTTGGTGTCTACACATACAAGGTACGTGGTGGATTTCAACAAAAAACTAGTTGGAAACCTAGGTAATGACCACATTTGACCAATATAAATTTGTAAAATACGTAAAATTACACTTTTAAAAGTAACTGACAAAAAAAGTCATTTTACAAAATGTGAAGGACGTTTTGAACGATTTTCCCTTTATTCTATATGTGAGTTTAAAAAATAGAATGAAGTTAAGCACAAGAGTTTGTATTGAATGTGGTGTTCAGGAAATCATATTTAGTTAAAAAAAAATTTTGTACAAACTGTGACGGCTAAGAAATCAAATTCAGTTAAATTTGAGATTTTCGATTCCACAGTAGCTACCACGACCTTTTCACCATCTCCATTCTTTGTAGTGGTCATCGCTGTCATGGTTGTGATGATGTTGTTAATTGTGAAGTCTTAAATATTATAGTATTGGGATTTTGTGATTTTTTTTTCTTTGGTGTATGAATTGAATCCTAGATCCACATTGTTACCACCTGTGGTATGATTTGGTGCCTTTGTTTTGTTTGGCAAAGTTTCATATCTACGCATTAGGTTAGGATACCTCAAACTCCATTAATTTGGATCATTTCTTGTTTTATATAAGTTCAAAATAAAAGGGATTCTCTGGGGTTCTTAAATCATAGGAAGACTCTCTGACATTCGCTAAAATTGCAGTTTTTTTTTTTTTTTGGATTTTATCCAAAAAACAAAATCTAGACATAAAAGCAAACATGAATATTAAAGAAACTAATTTTTCAAATAACAATCACTTAAATCTCTTGGTCATTTTACCCACCAAATAAGTAGTCCACTTGTATGGTGTGTATTTTTCAGTGTTTGTCTAAATTTTTACTATAATTTATAATATTTTAGAAAAAAATATTGGTGATGTGATGCACGCGAGATAAAAAAATGTTTGAAAATTAATGTTTATGATGCAAATTGAATAATATTTGAATTTGTTTGTCAAATCATGCTAACGAAACGAACCTCTATTTTGTTTTTTTTTTAAACACTTTCCTTCTCCTTTTTCCACTGCCTGCCATCAGTAACCTCCGCCACCGATCACTATCACATTTCTCACCCCCATTGGTACCCTATTCTTTTGATAGTTTTTTAAAATATTTGTTAGCTTTTAAAGTGTTATTGTAAATGGTGTGCTAGATGGATTTTGAATTTCTAAAACCCAAAAAAAAAAAATCAGGCCTATCAAATAGATAAAATGTTAGTCAAAATACAGCTAACGAATTGCCTGCCTGGCCCAATTGGTAATTTGAAAGATTGGGTCGGGCCTAGGGCTGCAAACGAATCGAGCCGCTCGCGAGCTCGAGTATATAGATATATATTTTTTATTTTTTTATTTTAAGTATATATATATTTTATTTTTTTATTTTAAGTATATATATTTTTTATTTTTTTATTTTAAGTATATATATATTTTATTTTAAGTATATATATATTTTATATTTTTTAATTTTAATAGTAAAATTACATATATATCCTTAATATTTTATTATTTATTAAGAAAAAAAATATTATTTTATTTATTTTTAAAAAAATAAAAATAATTATTTTTTATTTTTTCGAACTCGAGTTCGAGTTCAATGGAATTATGTCGAGACTCGACTCGATTAGGCCAAAACTCGACTCGACTTGACTCGTTTGCAGCCCTAGTCGGGCCATTTGGCTTTCGATTTTTAGTGGATTGAGTTAACTGAACCTAACTTGTTCATTGGTTAGGTTGGGTTTTTTCTTTGGATATCCAGCTTGTGTTTAAGCAGATTAAATTCAAAGAATTAGTTAAGGTGAAGCGGTACTCCTCTGATAGAACGGTTATTTGGCGTATTTTGGACTGTTATTTTGTCCTAATTTTGACTATTCACGGTGCTAAGAACTGGAGTTTCACTCATATTCGACATTTGTGTGAATTGTAGGTGGTCGGCATAAAAAATGATCTCGCAAGGCAAAATTCCAGAAGACCTTGCATTTCAGAGCGTGGTCACGCCTTGGAAGGTGGACGAAACCGAAAGCCGGACTGCGGTCCACGTGAACCGCGAGGAGCATGAGATTAAAACTCCAAAAGCTAGCTTTTGTGCAATCAATTGGGCCAGACGTTTGTTTTCTTCTTGACTTCTCTTGGGCGGCGCTACATATAAAAAGAAAAAGGAGATTCAGAATCAGGGGATCAATACCTGAGCTTTAGTCTTCTTTTCCGAGATTTGTCAGACGCTTTTATTTTTCTTTTGTTTCTTCGGCGGCTCTGGGTCAGACATTGGAGACTTTCTCCTCTGCTGTAGCTTTTGCTTTCGGATTCTGTACAATTTTTTCTATTCGACTTTTGCTTCTACTTTCGCTCCAGGGGTACGAACGCGAAACCCAACAAAGGGAAGCGAAGGTTTTTCAGCCGTTCCTTCGTTAATTCATCTTTTCCAATTCTTCGGCAATTAATTGAATGAATTCAATTAAATCACGCGGGATTGACACGATGAGGAGCGGCTAATTTCCTCATCTACCCAAAGGTTGACGCGAAGGCGCGGTCCATAATATCTGTGAGATCTAACCGAATCTTCATTATTTCCTCCAATTAATTGCTATTCGTGCGTTTCCTGAATTAATTGTTCATGGGTATTTTATTAATTGAATATCAACGGCCGGGTATTTGATTTAATTTAATAGTCTACTGCCACGTTAATTAAATAGAATCCGTAATTGTTCATTTAGTTAACACCCCGTGGCAACCACCATAATTGGTTTTATGATGGGGAAACGCAGGATCTAGCTTAAATAAACCCTCTTAGCGTGTTTATTGGTTAGGGTTGGGTTCTTCTAACTTTAATGCAATTGGGTAATTAAATTCCTATGGTCGTACCTATGGTTGTTATCTGGTTAGGGAAGCAGTCAATGGTCGTACCTTGACTGTCGAAAATGTAAGGAAGAACTGGTTGTCAGAGCTTATTGATAACTATAACCAACCTAGTGAAAAATGGATGAAATATCTTTGCATCGATGAGCATTTAATTGGACCGTGCCTGAGCAGTTGATCCTTTGGGTAGAACTTTTATTAATTGCTATTTTTAGTGAATTGTGCTTTGTGAGTTAGTTTTGAATTTTGTTTGTTTTATTTTATTTTATTTTTGTTTGCCTCCCATTGAAAATCCCCCAATTTCGTTCTACTAATTTGGAAAGAAATAATTTCCTACCTGCTCCCTGTGGAATCGACCCTACTTGCCATTGTACGCAAAATTAGTATTTTTATAGACAAACCCGGTATATCGGATCAAGCAAACTCTTCGGGAACAGGGTGAATCAAGTAACCCATTGCACACCTAGGGTCCCTGCTCCAGTACTTGGATTTGTTCTATAATTATTTAATTGAGGTGGTAATTAGGACTTTTTAGTAATTATTATTGCACAGGTTCGGCACCTGTCAATTTTTGGCGCCGTTGCCGGGGAGCTGGTGTTTGGATTATTTATTTCTTTTCAAATTCAGTTTTTGTTTTATTTTTATTTTATTCTATTTTTCTTGGTATTTTTGCTAGTTTATGCCCCGTTCTTCTCGCACAGGTGAATTGGTATACGATCCTGAGGTTGAGAAGGCAGCGCGTAGGCGAAGGCAAGAGACCAAGAGGCAAAAAGAAGGGCACTTATTTTCTGCAAACGAGTCAGCGGAAAACGAAGTAAGCATGGCCAACACCCAAACATTGAGGGAGCTGGCTGCCCCGGAGCTGACTCACCAGCCCTTATGCATCACATTCCCCACTCTGGCTGAGAATACTGCTTTCGAACTGAAGTCGGGGCTGATTCACCTCTTACCTTCTTTCCATGGTCTCTCTGGTGAAGAACCCCACAAGCACGTTAAGGAGTTCGAGATGGTTTGCTCTAGTATGAAACCTCCTGGGGTCACTGAAGAGCAAATTAGACTGAGAGCCTTTCCGTTCTCTCTCAAAGATGCAGCTAAACATTGGCTGTACTACCTACCGGCAGGTAGTATTACCACATGGGCGCAGCTGAAAAAGAAATTCTTGGAAAAATTTTTCCCTGCATCCCGGGCTGCGAGTTTGAGGAAGGAGATCTGCGGCATTAAACAATATCCCGGTGAGTCCTTGTATGAATACTGGGATAGGTTTAACAAGTTGTGCACTAGATGCCCGCAGCATCAAATTAGTGAACAACTGTTAATCCAATACTTCTATGAAGGGCTCCAATCAACAGATAGGAGTATCATTGATGCTGCGAGTGGGGGAGCACTTGCAAACAAGACATCGAGGGAAGCGTGGGAGCTCATCGAAGCCATGGCAGAGAACTCCCAGCAATTTGGTTTACGTGAGAGCAACCCTCCTCGTAGAGTCAATGAGGTAGAGACTTCATCCATACAGCAGCAACTGTCAGAATTGACGTCTGTTGTTAGGCAATTAGCCATGAGAGACACGCCGCGAGCAAAGGTGTGTGGAATCTGTACTAGCATGGACCACCCCACTGACTCATGCCCTATGTTGCAAGAGGATGGAGCTGAACAAGTGAACATGGCTGGAGGCGTGCCCGCGCCTCAAAGACCGTACGACCCATACTCTAACACGTACAACCCTGGTTGGAGAGATCATCACAATTTCAGCTATGGTAGTAGGCCACAAAATGCATTCTCCAATCGGCCTCCAGGTTTTCAGCAACCTTGGCAACATAAGTCTCAACCCTCGTCCTCAAACTCAGGGAGTTCTTTGGAAGAAATTGTCAAGAGTTTGGCCACGACTACCACTCAACTCGTCGCGACCACCACTCAGCTCCAACAGGAGACTAGGTCCTTAGTTGCAAGTACTACTCAGTTCCAACATGACACCAAAGCAGGCATGAAGGACATGGAGACTCGTATGAGTCAAATGGCAACTGCCATTAATCGTCTGGAGTCCCACGTCTATGGAAAATTGCCATCGCAACCTGAGATAAACCCCAGAAATGTAAGTGCCATGACATTAAGGAGTGGCAAGGAAGTGGAGGGGCCGAAGGTCACAAACTCAAAGAGTAAAAGTGAAGACGAGATCGAGCAGGAGATAGAGGAAGAAGGACACATTCGTGGAGGTCCTGAGGTAATTCTCACACCATCAATACCCGTTAAAGCTAATTTACCCCCTTTTCCGTGCAGGTTGGCGAAGACGAAGAAGGCAGAGAAGGAGAAAGAAATCCTGGATGTGTTCCGCAAAGTTCAAGTAAACATCCCCCTATTGGACGCGATCAAGCAGGTACCCAAGTACGCAAAGTTCTTGAAAGACTTGTGCGTTAACAAAAGAAAGCTAAAGGGTGATGAAAGAGTGATGGTAGGAGAGAATGTATCAGTTGTACTTCAAAGGAAACTCCCACCCAAATGCGGAGATCCAGGTATGTTTGCTATCCCCTGTAAGATTGGTCATTCTAGTATCAAAAATGCCATGATAGATTTAGGAGCTTCTATTAATGTGATGCCTAAGTCAATCTATGATTCCCTAAATTTAGGACCTTTAAAAGAAACGGGGATAATAATTCAATTGGCTGATCGTACATGTGCTTATCCGGATGGGATAGTTGATGATGTTTTAGTGCAAATAGATGGATTAATTTTTCCTGCTGATTTTTATGTGCTTTACATGGATGATAGAAGTGCCCTAAATCCATCACCCATTATACTAGGAAGACCATTTTTGAGTACTGCCCAGACTAAAATTGACGTTAGTAAGGGTACTCTCACGATGGAATTTGATGGAGAAATAGTCCACTTTAATATTTTTGATACAATGAAACATCCTGTTAACTCTCATTCTGTGTTTGCTATTTATACCACTAATCCCTCTGTGCAAGAATTTTCTGAATTTGCTTGTAGGGGTAAATTCAAAATTGCTTCGAACAAGTACCACAGGATGAAGGCAGTTCATGAGGTGAAAATGGAGAGAAAGTTTAGGAAAAAGGTTGCACTCAATGGCCATGTGGATCCCGGAGGAGGGCCACCAATTACAAGAAAAATTCAATTACATCCAGACTAAGGAGTGGTCCTATGTCTAGCCAAAGACGTTAAAGAAAGGCGCTGCTTGGGAGGCAACCCAAGGATTACAATATTAGTAGTGATCATTCTTCATTACTCTGCAATTTTTCAGTTTCCTTTTAATGTTTTGACTGTTTTTGTGGTGTTGGACAGAAGGATAGGGGTTCCAAGGCGTGCCCACGCCTTCCAACCCTTACGATAGCAAAAAAAAAAAAAAAAAAAAAAAATTTGACCAAGACTCTACTTTTTGCCATTTTTTCCTTATTCTTTGACTAGTCTTGGACAATCCTTCCAAACTCCTTCTGCCTAAGCTCCAATAATTTTTCTCCCAGTCTTGACCACGCCGCCCGCCGTCCGCATTCAAACAGAGAATCAGGCGGCCTTCTTCGCTCACATTGGATTCACCCCGCCTCACCCCCCTCCGCCTTAGTATCTCATTTTCCCCCCCGGAGCCAGGGAAGTTTCTCTTCTTTCCTCCTATTACTTTATATTGTCTCTTCTACATTGAGGACAATGTAGGTCTTAGGTGTGGGGGGAGTGGCTTCCATTAGTTCTGTTTTTCATTAGTTCTTTTTGCTTTGATTACTCAAAAAAAAAATATATATAACATGGGATGAATGAAAAAAAAAATGAAAAATATTGTAGTTAGTCGGCTTTTTGGTTATTTCTATGCTTGTTAGTGTTGGGGCATGTTGCTGTGATAAATGACATAATCAATGTGAGTGGGTATGTGGTCGTATATGCTGGCTGTGCATTTTGTTTCCCTTGGCAATGTCATTGAATGTTGAGTATGCTGGAATTCACCCATTTTTGTAACTTTTGGGGAGCTTTTGAGCCTTACTTGAGCATATTATTCTTGTTTGCTCTAATTTGTTTGATTGAGTGGGTATCGCACATGGTATGAACATTCTAGAACTTGCTATTTTGTACATGTCAAGACCTTCATTTTGATGAACTGGATGCATTTGAAATGATAAGGGCATTTAGGATTTAACCCTCTTCAGCTTTCTAAAAAAAAAAAAAATCTAGCCCTCATTTTATATCCCAATAGTGAACCAATTTGAGCTTTTGTCCTTCGTTTCTGGTTGATATCCGTGTTTGTTAACCCAAGACCTCTTTAAACTTTCTTGTTTATCCCTGTGTTGTCAAGGGATGTCTGAAATCCATCATTTGTGCAAATCAAACAAATTCGGGGGTTGCAAGTGTTGTTAGATTAGGAGTGGTATGATGTTATCCTTGTAAAAGGAGGAGAAATTGGAAAAAGGCCACTGACCAGAGAACTTTGGCTTACAGGGCGTGCCCACGCCTTACAGGACTTTCTCCTGAAAAAAAAAAAAAAAAATTCTGAAGAGACCTCGTGACCAGAGGACTATGGGCTACAAGGCGTGCCCACGCCTTGCGAGCAGTATTCAAAAAAAAAAAAAAAAAGAGAGAGAGAAAGAGAAAAAATTAGGGACACTTGTACAGTGTGTACAGCAAATGGAAACTGCCTTGTTAGTGAAACTCCTCCGGTAAAGCACTGTGGTTATTGGTGAGTTTCGGACGTTCTCTTGACACTTTACCCCCTACCTATACCTTATTAACCCGCCTTTCACCTGAGCCCCATTACAACCCTATTAAAGTCCCTTTGATTTATGTGTTTAGTTCACTTTTAAGTGGTGGAGATGTGATAAACGTGCAAGCCTATGGTAATGGCATTCCGTGATGTTGAATTGAGCGTTTCTAGTATTCATATATATTCTTTGAATTACAACATGTCCGGTGTGTTTTACCTTCGGTGATATTGTCAGGGACCCTAGATGCTTGTGTTAGTATAGACTACTACATGGCCTTTGCTCTCTTGGTTGTACTTCTGAGCTCCGAAATGCTTGAGGGCAAGCATTGTCTAGGTGTGGGGGGATTTGATAGAACGGTTATTTGGCGTATTTTGGACTGTTATTTTGTCCTAATTTTGACTATTCACGGTGCTAAGAACTGGAGTTTCACTCATATTCGACATTTGTGTGAATTGTAGGTGGTCGGCATAAAAAATGATCTCGCAAGGCAAAATTCCAGAAGACCTTGCATTTCAGAGCGTGGTCACGCCTTGGAAGGTGGACGAAACCGAAAGCCGGACTGCGGTCCACGTGAACCGCGAGGAGCATGGGATTAAAACTCCAAAAGCTAGCTTTTGTGCAATCAATTGGGCCAGACGTTTGTTTTCTTCTTGACTTCTCTTGGGCGGCGCTACATATAAAAAGAAAAAGGAGATTCAGAATCAGGGGATCAATACCTGAGCTTTAGTCTTCTTTTCCGAGATTTGTCAGACGCTTTTATTTTTCTTTTGTTTCTTCGGCGGCTCTGGGTCAGACATTGGAGACTTTCTCCTCTGCTGTAGCTTTTGCTTTCGGATTCTGTACAATTTTTTCTATTCGACTTTTGCTTCTACTTTCGCTCCAGGGGTACGAACGCGAAACCCAACAAAGGGAAGCGAAGGTTTTTCAGCCGTTCCTTCGTTAATTCATCTTTTCCAATTCTTCGGCAATTAATTGAATGAATTCAATTAAATCACGCGGGATTGACACGATGAGGAGCGGCTAATTTCCTCATCTACCCAAAGGTTGACGCGAAGGCGCGGTCCATAATATCTGTGAGATCTAACCGAATCTTCATTATTTCCTCCAATTAATTGCTATTCGTGCGTTTCCTGAATTAATTGTTCATGGGTATTTTATTAATTGAATATCAACGGCCGGGTATTTGATTTAATTTAATAGTCTACTGCCACGTTAATTAAATAGAATCCGTAATTGTTCATTTAGTTAACACCCCGTGGCAACCACCATAATTGGTTTTATGATGGGGAAACGCAGGATCTAGCTTAAATAAACCCTCTTAGCGTGTTTATTGGTTAGGGTTGGGTTCTTCTAACTTTAATGCAATTGGGTAATTAAATTCCTATGGTCGTACCTATGGTTGTTATCTGGTTAGGGAAGCAGTCAATGGTCGTACCTTGACTGTCGAAAATGTAAGGAAGAACTGGTTGTCAGAGCTTATTGATAACTATAACCAACCTAGTGAAAAATGGATGAAATATCTTTGCATCGATGAGCATTTAATTGGACCGTGCCTGAGCAGTTGATCCTTTGGGTAGAACTTTTATTAATTGCTATTTTTAGTGAATTGTGCTTTGTGAGTTAGTTTTGAATTTTGTTTGTTTTATTTTATTTTATTTTTGTTTGCCTCCCATTGAAAATCCCCCAATTTCGTTCTACTAATTTGGAAAGAAATAATTTCCTACCTGCTCCCTGTGGAATCGACCCTACTTGCCATTGTACGCAAAATTAGTATTTTTATAGACAAACCCGGTATATCGGATCAAGCAAACTCTTCGGGAACAGGGTGAATCAAGTAACCCATTGCACACCTAGGGTCCCTGCTCCAGTACTTGGATTTGTTCTATAATTATTTAATTGAGGTGGTAATTAGGACTTTTTAGTAATTATTATTGCACAGGTTCGGCACCTGTCATCCTCTCTCTCACCTAAACACAGCTGAATCATCCCATTGTAATTTCAGCTTGCCTACTAAAATCACTTCTTTTGAGCACTTGCCTTGTTTGGACTGTGATTTTCGATAGAAAAATTTTTACGTTTTTGTGAATGCATTTCTCAATCGCCATTTTACCTCACATATGAATCGTTACAGTATATTTTTTCTATAAAACTTCCAAAAATGGCAATCCAAATGTGTTGCGACGACTATCCGTTTAGATTAGCTATTTTTTGAGGTATGTTTGAAAAATTTTAATGTAGTAGAGTTTTTAGCGTATATTTTGAGATACTTTTAGAAAATATTTTGAAATATTTAAAAGTAGTAGAGTTTTTAAAATATATTTTGAGATACTTTTTAAACATTAAAAAAAATTTAGACTACTTTTTAGAGTACCTTTTAGAGTACTTTTTAAAAATTTAAGGATCCAAACTATTTGAAAATGTTTGAAAAAACTAGTTTTTGAAAATTTGTACATATTTTGTAGCTTCGTTAGCTGAAACGTCTGTGCTTGCAAGATTTCCAATGGCATGGACATAAAACAACTATTATTTTTTCGAGCTCTGATTGGATTAAGCTTGCAGGCATTAGATGACGATGCTGCAGATGTTTCATAAGGCCTCAAGATAATAGATTTAATATTTGCTTCTTACTACATGATGGAATCAATCAGGACATGTTCCTTGGGCAGTTTATCTGAAATTCTGCATTACCATATCAAAAGCAAATCCTCGCATCTTCCAGACATTTCAGTCTATAAATTTTATCATCCAAATTTTTGCCGACTGCAAAATTTGCATCCCTTGAGCTCCTGTTATTGCTCTTTTCTACACAAGATAAATAGAAACAGGTTTTGGTGTTGCTTGTTGGAGAATTCTTTTCAGCCACAGCAGACATTCAAGAAATAATTGTAGAGATTGATTTTTTATGACTGATAGCAAATACACTACACATTCTACTCTAAATAACAGCTGAAAGCAGGGAAATAAGCATAGAAATTGTTTTCTTTAGTTAATCATAGCTCACCACACTGATTAAACCTGAAATTGTGAGTATCAGAGCATGATCTATCTCCTATCTGCAAAGCAAAGATTTCTCATGTTTGGTAATTCATCCTCTGCAGAGCCAAGGAAGCAAAGAAATAACACTAAGATACATAAAGAGATAATAAAAATGTTACCCTATTTCAGTCCAGAAAGCTGTGATCCTGAATCAAAATATCACCCTTTCTTCATTGCATCCAAGACATGATTTATCAGCTCCATCCTCAAGTTTAACTTCATCAAGAAGAGTTCAATCTCCTTTCTCCGTAATTCCTTCCATTTAACCTCCAACTCCTTTGCCTTCTCGCAATCAATCAAAGTCATATTTCCCCTCATAAAGACTTTCAAACTTTCAGGCATCCACAAAAGTTCAAGATTTTTTACATCAGATGACTCCTCCAAAAATGGATGATTAGGCTTGAAACCTCCTTGATCTTCCTCAACATTCACTTCATCATCATGCTTTAGTTGTAATTTTCTAACCATAGCCTTCTTTCCATCCATTTTCTTCTTCATTCCACTCTTCACATCATCAACAAAATCAACACCACCCCATAGCTTTTTTGAAAGCTCAAAGGAAATAGATTCATGTGGACTCAAGAAAACAGGGTCGTTTCCACTACCTTTACGTTTCTCCAGGATTTTCAAGTAGTTGTTCTTCAAGCGTCTGATTTTCCCATATACCTGAGTCTTTGTAAACTCAAAATGAAGCTTCCCTTTCAAGAACTCATAAACTGCATACGTGTGAGCTGACAAATCAGTGACATTTTGCAATTTGGCGTAATCAATCACACCTTGGAGTATATCAATCTCATCTTTCTCGGTAAAAACCCTAGCAAAAGAAGATGGAGTGGCATAGACAGAAGCCTTCTTTTGGTTTTCTTTTTTCCTTGCACCAATAACAACAACATCCTTCCTCGTCTTGTTCTTTCTTGCACCATCCTTCTGATCCCGCTTGGCCCGTTTGAAAGAGTGTTTTTGGGGTGCATCAGAATCATAACCGGTTCCTGAAGTTGGACGGTATTGGGTTGGTCGTGGACTTGCTTCACGAACAGCTGCTTGTTGAGTTTGAGGGATTCTTTCTTTTTCCTCTTGATCTTCTTCAGGGATTTCCTCTCCTTGCAATGCAGCTTCCGAGATTTCCTTTCCATGTTGAGTTTGAGGGATTCCGTCATTTTCCAGTTTGTCTTCTTCTTCTTCAGGGATTTCCTCTCCTTGTAATGCATCTCCTTCTGGATCATCATTATCATCTCCATCCCCATCATCATCATCTTCCTCTTCCTCTCCTTCTTCTTCTTCTTCTTCTGGGTTTTGGATATCCCATGGAAGGCGAGGGAGACTACTTTTGATGCCCATTTTTCTGTGGGTTGAGAGCTGATCCTTGATGGTTTGAACTTGGAAGCAGTCAATGGCTTATTTAAATTTTAAAGAGTGCAATGCACAGTGCGAAGACCAAGGTGAAGGTGAAGGTGAAGAGTCTGGCGCTTCAGCTGACCCATTGAGGACCCATTGAGGCTCTCTTGGTACTCAACTGCTAAAGCATACTCAATCACTTACTGAGAAATTTCTAAAATTATGATGATTTTTAAAAAAATTCTACAAAGGGGGCATTTTGTGTATGGTTTTCTATCCTTGGGGTCTTCGCATTTAGCAAATGCGAGCTCAAGGAGAAATTTCTAAAATTATGATGATTTTTAAAAAAATTCTACAAAGGGGGCATTTTGTGTATGATTTTCTATCCTTGGGGTCTTCGCATTTAGCAAATGCGAGCTCAAGGAGAAATTTCTAAAATTATGATGATTTTTAAAAAAATTCTACAAAGGGGGCATTTTGTGTATGGTTTTCTATCCTTGGGGTCTTCGCATTTGCTAAATGCGAAGTCGACATGAATTTTTCGACCACCGAAATTATAAAAAAAAAAAAAAAAAGAAGCATACAAATGCGAGGTCAAACTAACCTCGCATTTTACAAATGCGAGGTCATGTATACCTCGCATTTGTGAAATGCGAGGTTAGTAACCACCAATATAGAAGGTCATTTCCTTCATTCTTTTTGACGTTTGATTAATACGTATTTGGACTTCTTAACTTTAGTAAATATTTAAAAGTCACTACCACTAAATATGTCACAGTTATGATTTCTTGGCTGTAAAGTTGTGTGAATTTCATTTCACTCGACAATAGTGAGACTAACAATAACCATTTTTTGCATTTAAAATAGCGATTGGTGGATTCAAAAAATTTATGAGTTTTGTAGCTTATTTGGAATTAGTCGGAAAAAGGAGAAAATGTTTGGAAAATTGCAGTTGCTGTAATTAGTGCAGAATTGTGATGATCCGAGCTCGTATCCTATAAAACCCAGAAGGATCCGACCACGGATCGTTTGAAGCGCAAAAAATTAAAACAGGAGATCCGAGCTCGGATCATTCAAGTTCCAGTTTGATCCGAGACCTCGGATAAACTTCTGGTGTAGTGGATCCGAGCCATGTAGGATCCGAGGACTACAAGAACGGATACGACCTCGGATCTGTTCGCGGATAAAGCAGAAACGAGGGTTCGTTTCTGCACTTTTCAAATAT